ATAAATTCATTTTCGGAAATAATTTTTGTCAGACGTAGATTGAACATTTAATAATTTTATTATTTTGTTGTGCATTTGAAAGAAAATTAATTTGATCCTTTTGGAAAACACATGATTATAAAGCCCGTAGCAATATAATCTTAATATGTTTCCAACCAACCACCCAGATAGCACAAAGTCGTCTTAAAGACGTCTTTAAGAAAACTCGTACAAGACATATCAGACGTCTTTAAGACGTCTCGTATAAGACGTATCAGACGTCTTGAGGATGTCTGGTATTTCCTGAAAGACGTCTTTAAGACGTCTTAGAAGACGCATGATGTTACAAAAGGGAACGTCTTTAAGACCTCTTATTAATAGCATATATTAGTCTGTGGAGCTTAAAATAAACCATAAATAAGACGTCTTTGAAGCCTTAAATAAGCCATAAATAAGACATTTTTAAGACGACTTATTAAGAGCTTATAATTGTCTTGTGAAGCCTTAAATAAGCCATAAATAAGACGTCTTTAAGATGTCTTATTAATGGCTTATAATGGCTTATAATGGTCTTACGAAGCTTTAAGTAAGCCATAAATAAGACGTCTTAAGACGACTTATAGCTTACAATGGTCTTGTGAAGCTATAAAAAACGTCTTTAAGATTAGACAAGACAAGACGTCTTTAAGATTAGGCAAGACGTCTTTAAGATTAGGCAAGACGTCTTTAAGATTAGGCAAGAGTCTTTAAGATTAGGCAAGACGTCTTTAAGGTTAGGCAAGATGTCTTTAAGATTAAGCAAGACGTCTTTAAGATTAGACAAGATGTCTTTAAGATTAGATAAGCGTCTTTAAGACATCTTAAAAACGTCTTTCAGCTCTCACATTAATACATCTGAATTATGGCTTTTGCCGGACGTCTTAATAACGTCCTAGGACATTGAAACCAAACCAAAACACAGAAAAGACGTCTTTCAGACGTTGTGTGATATCTGGGCAAATATACCTGTTTCCCAAGAAGTTTTTCAGAATTAGATAATATACAGTATCGGCTATCAACGCTTTTCAATACGGTTTGAGCAAATCCGTGTGAAAATTATAGAGAGCATTGTGGTGAACAGGAAACGAATAATATCAAATAGTTTATACGGCCCGGCTAACGTTACATCAATACAACTTGATTTTTAGATATTTGGCCTGGAAGCATTTGCAAATAGTTGTTAAAACTAGTTTTTATTGTACCTAGTACTCTAACCACAACCGGTACTACTTTTGTTTTTGTATTTGACATCCTGCTCACTTCAATCTGAAGGCCTTTGTATTTACTTATTGTCCTGATTCTCTACTTAGGGTGTTTGAATCATCTGAAACTGATATATCGATATTGTTTTATTTATCGGTAATAATAGACATATACCACATAATAACAATGTCGTTATCAGTGATAACCTTATTGGGGACATGCTTAATACTTACTTGTTACCTGTAGTCTTATTATTTTGCATATAGTCCAATGGATATATGCAGCAACTTTGTTGTTGTGTCTATGAGTATATTCACCTATTATATGACTGACATGTTTTTCTGATAATAACTTGAATGCTTGTGTGCATGCAATGGTAACCAACAGTTTGAACATTGTTAAATTAATGATTTGGATTTAACGTAGTAGTCTTTTAACTATGCATTTTCAATATTTGAAGTAAATGTCTTTAAAATGTTTGCTATTTATATTATTTCAAGGCAAAGGAAAAATAAAATAGTTTTAAAAGGTTTTAAATGGTTTTAAATGGGTTTAAATGATTTTAAATGGGTTTAAATGGTTTTAAATGGTTTTAAATGGTTTTAAATGGTTTTAAATGGTTTTAAATGGTTTTAAATGGTTTTAAATGGTTTTAAATGGTTTTAAATGGTTTTAAATGGTTTTAAATGGTTTTAAATGGTTTTAAATGGTTTTAAATGGTTTTAAATGGTTTTAAATGGTTTTAAATGGTTTTAAATGGTTTTAAATGGTTTTAAATGGTTTTAAATGGTTTTAAATGGTTTTAAATGGTTTTAAATGGTTTTAAATGGTTTTAAATGGTTTTAAATGGTTTTAAATGGATTTTAATGGTTTTAAATGGTTTTAAATAGTTTTAAATGGTTTTTAATGGTTTTAAATAGCTTTAAATGGTTTTAAATGGTTTTAAATGGTTTTAATCAAAGTCTTTTTTTAATAAATAACATGGTTCATTTAAAAATATAAACCTTAACCTTAAATTGAACTTGAAAGATCATGCGCAAAAAAATCAAACAACTAAATTTTATATAGTTTACGATAATTGTTTACCACGTTGTCCGATTTCAATGATTATTTTGTTGTTAGGAAGGTGGTACCTCAGGGGCAGTATCATACAAATTTGGTCAAGATCTGATGATGGGATCCATGGGAAAATCATCAAATTCTTTATGTTTAGAGTCAGGTTTTTAAAATTACTTTTATGACTTGTATTTGACAAATTTTCTGCTAAATATAAGGAATAAATAGTTAGAATCTACAAACTAAAAGTTTGTGTTGTTTTACGGAGTTTTAAGGAGTTTAAGACCAGTTTTAATCCAAGAAAAGCTGCGAATCCTTTTCAATTTTCCCTCCGTTGCAAAATCGTAATGCAAAATCATATAGACGTCGTACATCAGTTACAAACTTTAATTATTCAAAGTAAAATCAAATAATAACCTCATATTAAGCAGGTTTATTCTCTCTAGATGTATTTATTCGCGTTAAATTGTCATTGAATCTGACAAATTAATTGCTGAAATATTGTATTTCATCAACTTCGAGCTCGCATTTCTATCTCCATAATTAGAAATTGAAATATACGGCATTGTACTACGATTATGCAATCAAGCTTCCAACGAAACGGAATATTGTAGCTACGTTCTCACCTAAATTAATTGTTTTGTACGCCAATTTTAGGAGTGCAATCCTTTAAAGATGGAGTTACAGATTTAAGAAAGTTCATCGGATTTTCAAAAGATTAATCAGTGATTAAATATATAAAACAGATTCATAACTAAAAATAAGAAGACTGAAGATTTTTTCAAGAGTTTAAATATAATTTAACTACAATTACGAATCAAAAGGCTAATTTACTACCTGACTCACGACGTTTCTCAAGATGGTCACGATTAATAAGAGCTACTGCGTGGGTAAAAAAATATATCGACAAGTTGAAGAAGAAGACCTGCCCACCATATCTAACTGTAGATGACTTAATTGAAGCAGAGAAAAAATGGATTCGGATTTTCCCAAGAAGAATGCTTTCCAGATGAATTGCGATTAATGGAAATGGGAAAACCGAATTCCAAGAAAAATCACATCCATACCCTAATGCCAGGTCTACAGAAAGGACTCCCAGTTCTGAAAGGTAGGACAGACTTGGCAAAGAGTCTCGAAGAGGAAACTAAAAAACCCAATTAGCTTAAGGCCGGAGAGGCCAGCCGCCAGTTTAGTGTGCATCCACATACTCGCAACAGTTAAGCAGTGAAGTCTCTGGTCACGCCGTGGATGGGTGACCGCTGGGAGGTTCCACCATGGGCCGTGTCACTATGGGATTCATCCGATTAGCGTTTAACCATCGACGACGTGGAATGAATGAGAATGAATGTGGGTTTAAATGGGAAAGTAGTAGGACCTTCAAATAGTGGTACAATAGGCCGCAGGCTGCAGTGCTGCCAGACTACAGACGGATTAGGGTGTAGCATGGGAGGTCTGAAGGGTGTAAAACTTAAAAAAAAAATCTTAAGCCCAAAGAGCAATTATAAGAATCTTTTAATTAGCCATTATCACGAACAGTCTAGACATTTTGGAGTGGAACTAGTTCTAAATCAGCTGAGATAAAAATTTTGGATTATAAATGGAAGAACAGCCGTGAAAACAGCTTTCCTGAAATGCCAGCTTTGCAGAAACAACAAATCAGAGCCGAAGATTCCCTTAATGGGGCAAATTCCTTTAGTTAGACTAACAAGATAAATTATACCATTTGTGAATACTGGCATGGACTACTTCGGACCAGTTCTTGTAACTGTTGGCCGAAAAAAAGAAAAAAGATGGGGCGTAATCTTCACTTGTCTCGCCGTGCGAGCAATACATTTAGAAGTGGCACACACCTTGAACACTGATTCTACTCTTATGGCACTTAGAAGATTCATTGCACGAAGGGGGGCCCGAAAACTAACGTTTGTTATAATGGAACCAATCTACAAGCTGCTGCGAAAGCATTAGGAACCGAAATTAATAAAAAACAAGTGCTGGACTCAATGACTAATAAGGGAATCGAGGTAAAATTTATCCCACCAAAAGGAGCACACTTCGGCGGTGCCTGGGAGAGACTTATTGGAACCATTAAGAAAGTGATAGGAAAAATTTTATATGACCAATCCATAAAGGATGAAGTTCTTTTAACGCTTTTGGCCGAAGCAGAGAATATAATAAACTTTAGACCACTAAACAAAGTATCACCGGACCCAGATGATCTAGAGGCACTTAGCCCGAAACACTTTCTCTTGGGAGATAACAAAAACAGTTTATTCAACTCAAATTCCAGTCCAAAATGCCTGCGTCAAGATTGGAAAAATCTCAAATGTTATCAGATTTATTCTGGAATCGCTGAATTAAGGAATACCTTCGCTCACTTACCAAGAGGAGTAAGTGGACATCCGACAACAAACAAATAGAAGCAGGTGATGTAGTTACAATCGTCGATGACAATGCACCAAGGTACAATTGGAGACTAGGAAAAATTGAATCCGTCTATCCCGGACCTTACGGAAGAATTCGGGTTGCGGAAGTAAAAACATCGACAGGTCTCCTAAGAAGGCCAGTCAGTAAACTATGCAAGCTTGAATTCGAACAGTAGCAGCTGCAAGGGGCGGGAGGATGTCATCGACTAGACTATTGCCTATATACTTGTACGTTTTTAACTAGATTAATGACATATCACTTATATAATGGGGTTAATATTAAAAAATACCATATTAATATATAATTATCAGTATTATTCATAAAAATTGTTTTTTTTTATTAAAATACTTCATCATTTATAAAACACTACTTAAATAAATACCACTAATACCTACTACTACTAAAAATCTTATTTTTATAAACTTCTTAACATTATAATACAATTAAAAATTCTCAATTCTCTTGACTAACCCCAAATCCAACTTCTTTACATTTTATAACAATAGTTTTAAAAGTTTGACAGTAAAAGTAATTTGTTTTTACGAAAATGTTATCTATTCCCCCATACGTGATTCTGAATAACCATCCATGTACGTAATATTTAAATCCATTTGAATAGCTGAGATTGAAACTGTTTTGTTGTTCAAACTGCATTTTATTTTTCTTCCTCCTTCTCGTTATAAATGTATATAAAAATAAGTAACTAGATAATAATATTCTGACATAAAATAAAAAGGGCTGTAAAAAATGACTCCTTCGTATATCTATCACCAGGGAAAACTGACGCAGCCAATTTAAAGGACATAACATCTAAATTAGTCAATGTGTTAAGAATCATGTATGGGACCTCAAAAAATGCATTGTAAATAATAAATGATATACATCTAAAATCTTAAATAAAGAAATAGTGTCGCAATAAGGAAGAAATTGCCGATAATAGTATAAGTACCACTGGTACATCCAACATTTTCCAAGGATATTGTGTACCTCACGCTGTCTGGATAGCGGCAGAAATAATCTGAAAAAATTAAAAAAACATTTTAATTTGTTTTACCAAATTCGTACTATGTATATTATTATTAATTGAGTACCAAAGGAGATCATCGTAAATACATAAAACTTAAATATTATGTTTTTTAAGCACTTATTTTAAAGAAATGGCCATAGTATAGTATCATTTCGTTTTAAAAAATGCATAAAATAATTATTAAAACCCAATTAATACTCACCTTTGCATCTATACTGAGTGGTATTCCCATATACTGATAAATAAATAGGAGCACACTCTTCAAAATTACTTCCACACCAGTCTGATATATCACTAGTTTGAACATTTAGTTGTATAGTTTTGCAATTTGCAGACAGACTATCGGGCCTGCTTTGATTACGGGAAATGCAGACAGTAATTGAACCAGTACTAGTTTCAGTTATTTTTAAAATTCTTGGTCCGTCCCCTTTGAAGAAATAATTTGGTACAATTTTGTAATAATTGACTGAATTGAGGTCTACGTATTGCGTTGTTGAGAAAGTACTTGTAGAGCCTGTAAAGCCGTAAGCACAGTTGGGATTCACTATTGATCTTGGAACTGAAAAACAAATTGTTGAATTACGTACTTTTATTTCGTTTGATAAATTATCTAGATTGTCTCTTAATACCATCCAGAATGGGGCTATTCAAATTCATGCCATTTTACGAACTGTAAAAACTAATACTAGCTGTAATAAAATTATTGTGCGTCAAATTTTACAAGGTTTAGATAAGGTTAAGTTGAAAATAAGTGGGGTGACCTTATCGCCTTCCATGCCTGACTTATAGTTCACCGTACAAGCCACACCTTTTGATGAATGCCATGGTCAATACATCTACTATTTGTAACAAATATTACATTTGCGCAAATGCTTCAAGAACTTCTACTAACTAATACCTTTACATCAAAATTCTCGTTTTAAAAAAACTATTTCTATTAAATTTTCACTTGACCAGCTACAACCATGAGTACTTATCCATTAGCGTTTTTTCCCGATACACTTTCGCGAAATAAAGCATATGGTTCAGATCGTCTCAATCTTCAAGTAACTGCCAGCGTATATAGAAAGACATTTCCTTCGTATCCAACCTACAAACACTCTTTCCATGTGGAAACGATTTTGCTGCCAAAAAGTATGTCAATACAATGTATTGTTCCGGTGTGCTTTAAGAATTAGATTAGATTAATTTTGAAAGGAGTTGAACACTATTTGTCCTTGTCCATCGCGACCTCTTCAGATCTATTATGGGACTCCGTTGCATGCACTGTTTGATGAATGCCTTGCACAATGCCCTAGCAACTCCACAGAAGAGTCCAGGACCTGTAATGGCCTTATGTGAGCCTTCTCGGGCTAGTTCGCTGGCCCTGATATCCCTAGAGGACTGGCACCTAGACTAGGGTCATCTTATTTTGACTTCTTAGCTCTGCCAGGTCTTCTAGGCAGTCTTTCATCAGTCGTGATTTCTGGTGAAAGATTTACCTTTAGAACTACTTGGCTACCAGAGTAGATGGCAATAGTTTTGCCTGATAGTTACTGATTTAACATTTCTCTTGCACAATGTTATATGGCTATTAGTTCAGCATGGAACACTGTTTAATGTTCTTTTAGACTCAGTGAAATAATTTTTTTTTGACTTGGGTCCACAGATTCCAGCACCGGCCCCTTCCTTGGTTTTGGAACCGTCTGCAGACCGAACGAGTTCAGCCTGTATAGGATTCTTGGGCTGGTATTTGAATATGAAAATTTCTTTCGAATTTGTATGTGATTATGGCTATATCAGTAGGCATTCCTAGAATATTATCCTTTTTTACTAGCTGGTATAGCCTCGCATGATCAGTGCTATGTAGTTGGCTTATTAGGGTTTGTCCCTGCATTAGCCTGTGAATAACGGACCTGGTTTCTCCTTGTATGAAGACGTGAGGTTTAGTAGTACTTCCATTGCTGCAGTTGGGGTGTAGTACGCATGGCCCCAGTGATACTCAGACAGGCGACCCGATTAATACCGGTGAGTTATCCTATTGCACCTACCCATGCAGTTTTATTTATCCACGCCACTGCGTCATAGGTTATGATGGATCTTACTACCCTTGTGGATAATATATGGTCGTTTTGGGGAAAACTGGGGCCTTAACTTTCTCCTACATATTCTTCTACAGCTTACAGGAGCTATTGGTGGCTTTGTAAGCAAGTTTTTTTTAGATGTTGGTTCCAAGTCAGGTTTGGTCAAATATGACTCCGAGGTATTTAACTTTTGTGACAAATGGAATAACTCTGTTGTTTAGTACTAGTGATCTGTATGTATCCGATTTTTGTGAATGGTACAACTGTTGTTTTTTGTATGTTAATAGAATGTGCCTCCAAATCGCCCCCTGACGATAACTGCTAGGTCATCTGCGTATCCTAGGCACTGATAGCCTTCTTTGGACAATGTTTTGAGTAGGTCTTCTACTAGAACTGACAGCATTTGAGATAGTATTCCTCCTTATGGACAGCCCTGTGTAACTTTTGCTTGTATAGTTGCCTTTCCTTGAGTAGATAAAATGATCTTATTCTCTAAGCTGGTATTGATCTATTGGCATATTGTGACTGGGACGATTATCAGTTCTTAAGCCTTGGTTATTGACCTGGTTGAGGCATTATTGAAAGCCCCTTCGATATCTTAGAAAGTGGCTATTGCGATCTTTGTCATCTGTTAGATCAGTTGACTTTCGTTGCTGATATGCGATGGAGCAGATTCATTTTTAGTTTTTCGTCCCTGATGTATCTGTCTATCAATATTTCTAGTGTTTTTAGTAAATAGTTCGATATGCTTACAGGGCGATATGACTTTGGCGTTTGGTCTATGACCCTACCCACTTTGACTACTGTCGTCTTCTGTCATATTGCTGGGATATATCTCCAAGCAATGCATGCTCTACAGATTTTGGACAGATGTGACATTAACACATCTTTAACTTTCTGGAGCAGAATTGAATATATTCCATCAGGCTCAGCGGATTTGTATGACTTGAAATGGTCCAACTAATCCTGCGTGGTCTTGTGACCTCGGAGGCTAGCTTCCAGTCTATTGGAGATGGTCTGATCACGTTGTAACTGTAGCTGTCTTGGTCTTCTGAATCTAGATCTGTTAGGATTGTTGACTCTAGACTTTTCTCTACTGTCGAAGTATAAGTATCATCCTATCTTTTGAGGAATCCGACTTGGTTAGATGTATCCTAATAACACTGATTTGTCAGAAACATCCCATTTAGGTTCTATGTATGTTTCTAAGTTTCTAAAATAAATAATACGTCCCTACGATGTTTCTAAAGAAACATTTCTGGAATGATTTCTCAAGAACATTTTACACTCGTGCACAATTGACCATTAAAACTCACACCACCGACCCGAACGTTGTCATAAGCCTTAATAATAACTCTGGTATACAGCTGTAAGGACCCACACTATCTCCGAATTTTTATACTAATTTGTACTGTTAATAATTAGTAGTGAATGTATATCCCATTTAGGTTTTATGTATGTCTCTATGTTTCTGACATAAATAATACGTCTCTACGATGTTTCTAAAGAAACGTTTCTGGAATGATTTCTCAAGAACATTTTACACTCGTGCACAATTAACCATTAAAACTCACACCACCGACCTGAACGTTATTATAAGCTGTAATATAGCTGTAAGGACCCACACTATCTCTGAATTTTTATACTAATCTGTACTGTTAATAATTAGTAGTGAATCTATCGTCATGGTATAAAAAATAAACTTACTGGTCTTGATCCTATCAATAACATTTTTTGCTGTAGACTTTAAGTCATTTTCATTAGTAGTATCTGATAAAGGAATAAAATCTTTACTAGGGTTTAACAGAATCGATGAATATTCTCCAGGTGTTCCGGACCCTAGTACCATCACTGTGACGTCTACAAACAAAAAAAGTACAATTTTAAGCTATAATTCATCGGTATTTAAACGTACCTGGCAATAATTGCTTTATTATTTCTTTTCTTTGTTCCAAAAAGTTTTTGTGTGATTCGTTTGGAGGTGTCCTTGTCACAAGTAATACTATTGTCGATTCTCCACCAGTGTAAGTATTGTTATTCAATTTTCCCCGTACAATCGTCTCCATTACTTCGTATATTTTTGAATAATCGAATTGTTTGTTCACTAGAAAAAAACATATTAATAATACAGACCGGAAGCAATCTGGAGTGGAAGAACTGATCCTTGCAAATTGCGCTAATATAGGAGTCGTTGATATTTAATCTATAATACAATGAATCAACATTTTAAAACTTTTCCATCAAAATTGTATAAATATGTTTAGGTTTCAGTATTTATTAATTTGGTAGTTTCATTTCCTTATGCGATAAAAAATTTTGAATTTACTAAATTGAATAATTCTTTGCAATATAATTTAAACCAAGAGATAACAGAAGATGTAACTACACACAAATATCGTGTTGTCCTGAATAAGACATTCTAATGAACACAGGACAGTGTTGTCATGTCTATTTCATTATTTTTGTTTCGTTTGCAAAATTATTTACATATCTTAAATAAGGTCAACCTATTTTATTGCAACTGAACCCAAAAAGTTTTAAATTATTAGTTATATCAAATTTAATTCAATTAGATGCAATTTCGCTAAATGAGATTTAATAATTTTCAATAAATTTCAAAACCTAGTTAATGTTAAGTTGGATATCAAGTATTTTGTACTAGATGTGGCAACATGGCTTGGCATTTTGTTAACTATGGGCGTACAACGACTTACATATATAATTATTGATAAAATTGTTTTGTACGGCTGTCAAAATCTTTAATTTATCTCTTCCCATACCTTACACCACATGTCTCTTCACTTCTGATCTACAACTGGATCGTATAGACACAGGTATCACTTATATTTTATCTTCTGTTATCTCTGTTTAAACTCCTTATAATTTTAGCTATTTGTAATTAATTAAAAATGGTTGTAACTTACACTTCTCATGAATAGAAAGATTATAAGCTTTGTGGAATTCCAACAAGTGGCTTGTACTATTGGTGAGATTAGTGGCGTCTGCACCACTGAACAGTGTATATCGTGAACCATATTTATTCACGTCAATGTTATCTAGAATGTACCTGAAATTGTTAAAAAAAATCAATATGTAATACAATTTTTCGATTTTGATATTAATTTATAGTTGATCATAAAAACATTGTAAATACAGACTGTGGCGCAGCTAGAATTTAGAAAAAATTTGGGAGTATTTAAAAAATATAATAATTTTTCACCTTGTTTAACTTTTTCAATTTCAAAATCGTCTGGGTTCGCATCTGAGTCTGGGAGGGGGAGCTTTAACCCCTAAACCCCCCTCGCTGCGCCGTCTGAATACAGAATGAGTCAATGAAACGGGACTATTTCAAAAAACATTAAAAAAAGAGGGAAAACAAATGTTTTACTAAAAACTTTTTGCATCTCGTTTGTTAACTTATATACTCAACACAAAAGTATCAATTTTACTACTGTTAAAACAATATATTCTTTTGAATAACAATATAGTACTTACGATATTATTGACTGTATTGGAGTAAAGCTCCAGTTAGGATCCAAAAATATGAGCAGATCAGTAGACACTCTTTCTGTTGGAGAATCAACTTGCGGGCACGCCAAATCATTAATACTAGCTATAAAAAAATTGTGCTTTTAATACCATCAAAATTGTACGCAAGCATACTTACGGAAATACTTGGCGAAACTGTTAACTGCACCGTCAACTAGTAATTGATATTTATCAGGATTGGTAGTATATGGATACTGGCCAGAGTTATCTAATTCTTTTATGATTGAAGCAACTTCGGTTGAAAGAGTATCTCCACTAACGAATTCGGAATACAAAATATTTCTGTTACAAGCTCTGAATGTCGAATCAAATACACCTCTTTGTTCAGGAGAGTAGTACATATCAATGATTTGTGATAATTTAACATCTGAATATTTTTTTTTAATAGATCTTTCCAATTGTAAAGCCAACAAAATACCATCAACCGAACCTCTTATATCCTGATCAGTAAAGTCCAAGTATGAATTTCTTTGGAGGAAAAAGTATTTTGGATTAATTGTACTGTTCCAGCCTCCGGACGACCCCACTTGCACTGATGATATACCTTGTGATAGTGCAGCATGAGCTAAATTACCTAAATATAAATAAAAGTGGTTATGTCATTGTAAAAAAGTATTTGTTCGACTATCGGAGAGTGCAGTTGAGTATTTCAAAAGACTGCTCGGAATCTAGGTCAAGTCAATTATTTACTCAATTACTTATTCAATTACTTATTTAATTACTCATTCAATTACTTATTCAATTACATATTCAATTGCTTATTCAATTGCTTATTCAATTACGTATGTAATTAATTATTACTTATTCAATTACTTAATCAATTACTTATTCAATTACTTATTTAATTACTTATCCAAGTACTTATTCAATTACTTATTAAATTACTTATCCAAGTACTTATTCAATTACTTATTTAATTACTTATTTCAAATATATTAACTAATTTAAATTATTGACAAAATATTTGATGAAAATAAAAAGCTCTTATCGGCTTTATGTACGATCTTTTTTCGTAAGTGTGCCAACTGAAGCGAAACTAGGTTTGTATATTTACCAGCTAGGGTAGCAGCATATCTATTATCTGATCCTTTGACATTTTCTTGATTTAAAGCTGTGGCTAATCCTGATAGTACGTCTCCAATTTTGACAGTTCCATGATTTGTGTATAGTACTCCAAGTTCAACAGGACATTGACTGGAGACTGTCGTAGGGTTTATAGCGAGACGACGTGGAGTCAAATGAAGAACTGATTCTGTATCAGCGTTTCCATCATCGCCAACAGATTCCTCGGAACCTTCTAGACCTCTTCTGAATCTTGCTTGGTACTGGGCTGACCTCACACATGTAACCGATTCATCTCCTCTAACAGTGTTGTTAATGGTGTCAGAGATCATATAGTGTAAGGCGCACTACAAAAAACAATTAATTAAAAATAATAATAATAATGATAATAATTTCAATTTTAGAGGTCACATGATCGCTTTCAACGCTTGGAGTTGTTATTAGCATAGGATTATTTTTTTAACTTACCAGATCAGCTTGCTGGAGATCCCCATAATAAAAAGTTTGTGCTGAATTTGGTAAATATTGTTGTAAAATCAGAGTTCCTTTATAAGCTTCTAGTCCATAAGGAGTAAAAGGTATTGAAATATTCAAGTCAATATTTCCACCAGTTGATGTAATTCCATTTTGCCAGAGTCTAAAAAAAAATGGAATAAGATGATACAAATAATATAATAAGAAATAAAAAGGAATGAGATTGTAGTAAAAACGCCCGTGGCACTTGCGCCCTCCACGAAGAAGTGTGGTACTTGCGCTCAAGCACCTTTTTCAAGTATAATTGTATTTTAATCCAAGTAGCTAATAAATTTATATTTTTATTTAATAAATAAATAAAGTTTTTGTCAGTCTCTATTACTTTTATCTCCTAGTTTTGTATAGGGCTAATTATAGCTTATCTTAAAGTCGTAGCTACGAAAAGTGTAAAATACAAGAAATAAATAATATTAAACTTTGTACGACCTGAAAATAGGCGAGGTCCAGTGATTCACCGTTGTAAAAAAATCAATGTTAGAATTCTATAAAATTAATCGCAGATACTTTGAGTTTACCTACCTGTAAATGCAAACTATCACCTTCTTGAAAAGCAGGTAAGCTCAAATGGTACGCTCTAGCGCAAATAGCACACATTTAGATAGTGGGTGTATTTATCATAGATTCAAAAAGAATAGCCAACAGTTTTTAACAACTATTTTATTTAATTTTTTACAAATAAAAATGCACTTACCTTTGTAGTATCAGACTCGAGAATTCTCTGGCAGTTAGTGTTGGATTAGCATCTTCAAGACGTCTAAGAAGTTCCAGGAAAATATTTAAATTCATAGGCGGTCTATTATCAGCTATAATGATTCCAGGTATGGCCGATACATTGTAGCACGGTATTAATAGAGGTTTAACGCCATTTAACTGGCCTTTAACAAACAGTGTAGTTCCTAGTATACATAGTATCACAACAATCAAGCGTTGGTCCATTTTCTAAAAATATTTTGTAAATGCAAACTTGGAGTAGCTATATGTGAATTAGTTAATTAAATGAAAGGGTAAGGAAGAAAAAGATTCTTTGAATCTCACAATGATACGTATTTCAAATACGACCTGTTTCGAAAATTATAAAGAGCTACCATTTGGGAACGCGAGACCGAGGCAAACGACAGACGACAGCAGCAAAGCAACAAATATTGCCAAACTAAAAGTGCTGTCGTCTGTTCCCAAATGTATTTCATATAATTACATGTGTTCAGACATGAAGAGACCGTTTTCAGATTTGCTGCTTGCTGCATGTCGTTTGAAGTCGGTCTTCGTCTCGCATTCCCAAATGGTACCTTAACTTCATCTTCTGGCACCCCTAGTGGGTAAGAGAAAAAGAAAAAAGGTGAAGCTATCGCAATCAACATGAAATATTAATTTAATTTAAGAATTATTTAATAATAAATATTGATTTACTATTAATACTAATATATATTTAAACAACATATTATAATGTGAGCCATTTCGCTATTCAGTCATGCTCTAATCCTCCAAGTCCCTCTCCGTCTTATTTGGCTTTTGAGGCTCAACTTGTCCAATTATTATACATTAAACTCCTTAAGATCAAACATATGTGACGACTATGGCGAAGGCGCTTTTGATTACTATTCGAGAAAAACGTGATAATGTTTCTAATTTTGGCGAGAACGTTCTGGAACCCACCAGAAATTAGAAATTTGTGTTTAAATAAATTATTAATAAATAAACTGTTGTTTAAAATAAACAAACATTACAATATTAATGCTTTTGAAAAAATGTTGTTATAGGTAATAAAAGAAAGTCATGAAAAAATTGAAAAATAATTAATAGAAAAAATTGAAAAACCTCACTATATTCTCTGATCTACTAGGGGATAAAACTACAAGTTACTCTAGTATAAAAACTGAATATTTTTTAAAAATTGTTATTACATACACCTAATTTTATCGCCAAAATTAAAATAAATTAAAAATAAACGCCACAAAAGATAAAAACAATATTAAAAAGTATAGGTGTGTTAAGCCAATATTTAACAAATTAAATAAAATAATTTTTTAAAAGGGGACGACAAAATGGCTTATAAACCAGCTCAAATGACTAGTTGTTGATTTGAAATTTAAAAACAATTTTTAACATTTATTAAATTAAATCAATGTTTCATGTCGCTACAAATAGAATTTTTTTTTCTCTTACCCACTAGGCGTACCAGAACAGTTATAAACTTCGAAACTTGTCGAAATACATATCATTTTGAGATTCAAAGGACCTTTTTTTCCCTACTCTTTTATTTAATAATTTGTAAATGTTTACGATAATGACAGATAAAATTAAAGATTAATTTTAAAAATACGCTTTACTTAATGATTAACGAATTTCAACAAAAGTTACTTACTATAAAAATTAGCTTTCTTCGAAATGATAATGAAAGATAAAAAAAGATAAAATTGAAAATATGATTAACTGTAGGCGACTCTAGTTAGATAAACAAAAATAGTTTCAATTCTATATAGATCAACAGATACTATTTTCTACTCGTATAAATGCTGACGTCCTCTACGATAGTATGGATAGCATTGTTAATACTATATTTACACGATCTTTTTTATCGATATCCCCAACTAAACAAGAGCCTAGCTTGATGATAATCTTCAAGGATTTGATATTGGGAGGATCAGGAAAGTCTAGCCACCATAGGAATAGATGACCTATCCTGCCAACGAATCAAGGATAATGGATGTACTATCCACTATCGATTCGGGAAAATTCCCGTACATGGCCTTCAAAAGAAATAGGAAACAAAGGAACTGTGAGAAGAAGCAGAACCAACTCCTAGTACTTCCAAATATAAGACTGATGTGGAGAACATAGAGAGACTTAACCTCTCAAATCTCTGCGTAGACTCATCTGAGGATGTATAAATTGATAAAGAAGCAGAAGAGGGAGATATGGAACATACTCTCACCGAACAACACCCCCATTAAAGGAGAGTAAAATGGCGGGCATCGACATCGCCCAAGTGAATGTCCATCACGCCAAGGCAGCCTCGGCTGTGATCTCCAGGACATTCACTAAAGATCAATTAGGGATGGTACTGATCCAGGAACCGTGGGTCTATGGAAACCAGGTAAAAGGACTTGCATGTAAGGATGCAAGGGTAATTTATCACACTAGTGATGAAGTGCCCAGAAATCTCCAGGTGTGGATGGAATATTTTCTGACCTGCTTCAGCAGGCACAGGAGGAATTACTACCACACGTAATCCGGCTATCCCGGAGCAGTCTGGAGCTGGGATGTATACCAGAAGCTTGGAGAAGAACCAGAGTCATCTTTATTCCAAAAGTAGGAAAAAAGAATACCACACATCCTAAATCCTTCCGACCAATCAGCCTAACATCCTTTGTATTAAAAACAATGGAGAAGGCTGTTGATAATTATATCAGAACAGAAGTCCTGGAGAGGGTGGCACTCCACCACAGCCAACACGCGTACCGACCAGGAAGATCTACAGAAACGGCCCTGGTACAGTTGACTGACGTAATCCAGGACGCACTGACAAACAAAGAAACGGTCGTGTGTGCCTTCCTAGACATAGAAGGAGCTTTTGACAATACGCCACACGAATCTGTAAAAAAACACTCGCATACAGAGGAGTAGATAACATCACATCCAGATGGATGACTCAGCTGTTATCTACGAGAACTGCAGAGACACAAATGGGGCGGGACACCATCTCCATCTGCACAACCAGAGGATGTCCACAAGGAGGAGTTATATCACCACTAATGTGGAGCCTAACCGTAGACGAACTTCTATGCAGATTGACTGACCTCGGCATACCCTGTCAAGGTTATGCCGACGACATAGTCATATTTGCTAGTAGCAAGTTTAGGAATATCCTGTGTGATATAGTCCAACGAGGACTAGAACATACCAAAAGATGGTGCCGTTAAGTGGGACTTACAAAAACAACACTAGTAGCCTTTTCAAGGAAAACTCAAAACCGTTAAATTAGACGGGATTAGACGGGATAAGGCCACAAAAGCCCTAATGGTATGCAGAAACATTGCAGGTAAACGATGGGGATGTAACCCAAACATACTGCGATGGATGTATACTGCAATAGTGAGACCAATCATCACTTACGGGGCTATAGCCTGGAGTAACAGAACTAGTTTAGCTACAAAGACTAGCCTGTGTTTGCATTACTGGTGCAATGAGAACCTGTCCTACGGCCGCAATGGAGGTGATCTTAAACCTCACCCCTCTACATTTGATGATGGCAAAAATACAGATATAGAATGATCAGGAACGGAGTAATCAGACGAAAGTCTACTTGCTTCAGGACTAAAGATACCTGGGACCTGCCCCAGGATGAAATGAAAAGTAGTTTTGTGAAAAACTTCAAAACCACAGAGCTGGGCTGCAAGAAAGAATGGAGCCAAGAATCCATCACGCTTGCAACCGAAAGACGTGCTATTCAGTGGTATACGGACGGTTCCAAAACCATATAATGAACTGGAATAGGAGTATATGGGCCGAGAACCAAGCACTCCGAAAGCTTGGGAAAATCCCCAAGCATCTTCCAGGCGGAAATTAACGCCACCGAGAAGTGTATCTAGTTCAACATCGAGAGAAACTATCATAGACAAGATTATCATCATGTCCGCTAGTCAAGTCGCCATCAAAGCGCTAAGCTCTTACGTAATCAGTTCAAAAATGGTCTGGAGATGCCTAGAACAATTGAATGAGCTAGGCGAGAAAATAGTTACTCTCACTTGGGTACAGGGTAACGAGATTGCAGATAGTCTTACAAGGAAAGGGGCTCAAACACCCTTTGTAGGACCTGAGCCGTTTTGCGGTATCAGCAGTAACATAATATTAGGAGAGATTAAAAAAGAATTGGGCAGTAGAAGAACCGATAACTGGAACAATCTCTTGGGGCTGAGACAGGTCAAGATACTTCTGGATGAATATAAACAGAAAAGATCGGAAGCCTGCATCTGCCTGAGCAAGAACAGGCTACGTATTATAACAGGGATCCTTACCGGGCATTGCCGACTAAAAGGACACCTAAGTAAACTGAGAGTAGTAGAGGATAGTGAGTGCAGATTCTGTGAGGAGGAGAACGAATCTTTAATTCACATCCTAACTGAATGTGTAGCACTCCAGAATCAAAGGGCACTATATCTAGGAGGATATCAAATACAAGAGGAAGATTTACCTAACTTGAAGCCACTTCAAATCCTACATTTTCTTGAGAAAATATGATTGGAAGGGTCGTTATAGATATTAAGACATTTCCTTAGTGCATTGGCGACAGAAGGTCGCAGTGTATTAACACTCCATTCCCAACATAGAACATAGAACATCATTCACCTTTTTTATGGACATACATTATCATTAATGTTTACGTTTTAATGTTCTGTGTTTATGTTATTGGAGATAAAATAGTTATGAGAGATGAGTGTTTCTACATACATGAAAAACTATTTTGCTAGGGAAGATTAAATTCTGATTATTGCTCAAAAACAATCAACATCATCCGTTTTACTATATTTTTATATTATTGCTTTTAAAGTAGTTTATATGTATATTCTTTCTATATAGCAAAATCATAATTTAAAGGTTTTACTTAAAGGTTAGGTACATAGTTTACACTTGTTGATTTCATAATTTTATAATCATGTGTAATTTGATAACCTCAGAATTACAATACGCATGCTCAACTTTTACGTTACTGACATTCACAAATAGACTTTATTTTTATATCTTGCGTTAAGTTTTTACGGCGTTAAGTTACGTTACGGTGGTTATAAATTATACTTTAGCACAGTTCTGAAGAGCAATGATTGTTGAAGTATATGTATATCAAAGGCAGTAAGGCAGATGACCAACTGCATGTCCATGGCCAACAGAAGCAAGGTACTTAGTAAGTTTGGAGTCGTACAGTTGCAGGAGCAGGCATATACATATATTTAAATATAATATATATAATATAATTTTATTCAGTTCGTCTTTTTATACTTAATATTTTTGAAAACTAGAACAAAATCGCTCAAATTTATCGAGTTAAAATATAAACGTAGATAGATATTATCTTTATACAAAAAGTAGTTTCCTCCGGCATATTTGATATTAAAAATAATATATTGGCGAACATCCTTGAATATTTCTTAGTTCAGTTAGTTTATCTTAAATTATTTTATGATCTAAGAAGGTCACGTTTCCAAAAGAATCGCTAACCTTTCACCTTTAACGGATTTTTTTGGTATCCGCTTTGAAACCACGCACAGGTGTCAGTGGCGACTTGCGACCTACTCTACAGGGGGGCTCACTCTCATTAGAATTTGAAATAGAGCCTGTAAGTAAACTGCTGGGTATCTATTCTTGAATCTCAGGGAGTAGAAATTTCGAGGGAAGAATGAGACAAAAACACAAATTTTGTTCGTTACAGATAAACTTCCGAATAATGTAAAATTAATAGAAAATTTGAAAATATTTAGAAGTAAAGTAGAGAAGCTATTGATATGGATAACTATTTTATTCTATCAAAAAATATTTGGATTTCACGTTTTAATTATTCACGATTTTATTTATATTTTTAATGTAACTGTATTTTGATCTTATGGACAATAAAGTTATTATTATTAATACCAAAGACGTTTTATTTATTTATTTATAAAAAATTCTACTAAGTTGAAAGTATTATCTTTCAGGTGTTAGATGTAATCGTGATAAATTTTCTAGGAAATATTTTATTTAACTTTATCTATGCTGTTTGAAATAAGTAATTAATTATACATAAGTATAATTGCACTTCAAGGATATAGGAGTATGTCTATAAATTTTTTTTGACACGAAGTACATTCATCATTATAATTAACGAAAAAAATAGGTATATTGTAAATATATTGTGCTAAAAAAATTTTACCTAATTTCTTGGAACTAGTTGTCAATGACTAATTTGCATAATTTTGTTAATCCGAAACCCGCGTAAGTATAGCGAACAGACTGTATTTTATATTTTATAAGAGCTAAAAGAATGTATACAAAACAATATTTATAAACCAAAACATTAGCTAAAAATATTTTCGAAACATTCTTACATAAGTAATAAACGCAAATGTTACAAAACTATTTAGTTTGTAAATAAAACTTGTTAAATGCAGTTACTAGTTAGTTTCTTACACATACTTTAAAAACATTTTTATGTATATAACCATTGAGGTATAAAGGCGATGCAAAGCAACAATACAGAATCCCTACAAAGCAATTTAATTTTATAAGCAGAAATGTATAAAATAGTCGTATAAATGTTTATACCGGGTGTTCAAATTAAAGTGTTACATTTAAATACCGCCGAAAATATGCATTTTAGAAAAAAAAGTTTCAGACAAAAGTTTTATAGTTTTTTTAGGGAAACATTTTGGCTATATTCATTTTTTTATAGCTGACCATAATATGGCCATATCGAGGTGAACTTTGTTTTTTTAAATGGGAATCCCATTTTTTTCTTACATATTCTTAAAGTACATAAAAAATAAGAAACTTTTGAGGGAAATAATTGGCGTATTTAATAAAAGTTAAAATAAGAATTATACAAATATGAACAAATAGAGTAAATCTTGAAAACAATGAAACTTTAGAAGTGTATTGAATTTTTTGTCATTTACAAGAATGAAACAAATTAAATAACAATCAAAGATATTTAAATATTTTATTATTATTTTAAATCTATTTTAAAAAGTTTATAAGGAAAGAATTTTACATTTGGTTTTGAAATAAATGAAACAAAGTATCATTCTTATTTGCAAAATGAGTACACTGGCATTCAAATTCGTTTATTAATAATTATCTCTAACCTAAAAACCTTTTATCTGATGTGTATCATCAGTTCCCTAGGTGTGCCTAAAGAATCTAAAATTGTTTTTCGAAGAGTTTTTAACCTAATTATTAAAATCTGAATTAAGATTTAACATTTACAATTTCGCATACTCGAATTATGTTCATTTAGAATTTCTTAATTAATAAAATATTAAAAAAATAGGAGAACATACCTTTTTCATACTTCGTTGGTCTTAGTTGATTTCGATGTACATCCATTCACTGATAAGATAAATTTGTGCCTAGTGCGTGCTATCTAATCGTATATAAATTTAAACAAACAGGTGAATTATTATTGTTAATATTAGTCATATATGATATAAAGTATGAAACCGTTAAAGGGTCATAAATTTCAGGAAAATTGAGATAAAATAAAGGATCAAACATAAACTACAAAAATATGTTATGTATAGGTATTTTAGATACCCTGTGTATATTTTTGGATTGTTTGAAGGTGGCGATTTAATGCAATAAGTCAAATCCAATGAGGTATCCACAAAAATGAAGATCAAATTTTAAAGTTGATGCCACATGGCGTAACTAACTTCAAACTATTGAACTTATAAAGTTATTATAGAAACTTTTATATAGAACGCTAGAAAACATTGCATAATTGTAAAATTTCTTCACAAACATTCAGGCGCTCCACCCCAAATTGGTATCTTTTAGTTTCTGAACTTTAGAGAAAGGAATTATCCTTAATTATGGTTCACTGGTATTCAATACTAATGCAATTTATACAAGTTCGAACTTAATGAATATGTATTCAGTGTTAAGCAAGTAAGGTAATTAGATATTCTTCATTTAAGTTTCCAAAGTTTCAATAAAATATTAGCTCAGTCAAAATCTTCATGCATGTAGTAACAACGTCCGTGAAATTAGCACTACCACTTTAGAATTTTGAATTTTTGAGTATTGGATAATTTGTCGCTTTTTTTGTCGTGAAAAAGGAATATTTGTCGCTCATACTCTTTTCAAAATAACCCCTGTTAGTGCTAACTAGCAACTGCACCTAATCTTTAATACTAATTATTAGTGGATACTAGAGTCGCAGAAAAAGTATGCTGTTGCTCATTTCTATTCGTTTTATTTGTAATATTGACGCAAACATCGTAGTCGCAAAAATTTATTCCTTGCTTGTTCCATGAGAACTACTAGAGGTTATTTTAGCATTAAATGGGGTGGGTATATTTCAAAAAAAGGAATGAGAGATTATTTTTTTACAACAAATTCACGACAAATTATCCATATATAAAAAATGTCATTTATACTCATTTTCGTACTTAGTAGTGCTAACTTTCCATCAAAATTGGCATTAACTGGGGTTTATTTCAAAAAGGGGATGAGTGACAAATTTTTTTGAGACAAGTTTTACGACAAAAAACGACAAATTATTCATATAAAAAGTAATTTGTGCTTAGATTCGTGATTGTTGTGCCAACTCATCAAAATTAGGGGTTTATTTCAAAAAGGGGATGAGTGACAAATTTTTTTAAAACAAATTTTATGACAAAAAGCGACAAATTACCCATATAAAAAATGTCGTTTATGCTTATTTTCGTGATTGGTTGTACTAACTCATCAAAATTATTATTAACTGGGGTTTATTTCAAAAAGGGGATGAGTGACAAATTTTTTTAAAACAAGTTTTATGACAAAAAACGACAAATTATTCATATAAAAAGTAATGTGTGTTTATTTTCGTGTTTTGTTGTGCTAACTCATCAAAATTAGCATTAACTGGGGTTTATTTCAAAAAGTGGATGAGTGACAAATTTTTTTAAAACAAGTTTTATGACAAAAAACGACAAATTATTCATATAAAAAGTAATTTGTGCTTAGATTCGTGATTGTTGTGCCAACTCATTAAAATTAGCATTAACTGGGGTTTATTTCAAAAAGGGGATGAGTGACAAATTTTTTTAAAACAAATTTTATGACAAAAAAAGCGACAAATTACCCATATAAAAAATGTCGTTTATGCTTATTTTCGTGATTGGTTGTGCTAACTCATCAAAATTAGCATTAACTGGGGTTTATTTCAAAAAGTGGATGAGTGACAAATTTTTTTAAAACAAGTTTTATGACAAAAAACGACAAATTATTCATATAAAAAGTAATTTGTGCTTAGATTCGTGATTGTTGTGCCAACTCATCAAAATTAGCATTAACTGGGGTTTATTTCAAAAAGGGGATGAGTGACAAATTTTTTTAAAACAAATTTTATGACAAAAAAGCGACAAATTACCCATATAAAAAATGTCGTTTATGCTTATTTTCGTGATTGGTTGTGCTAACTCATCAAAATTAGCATTAACTGGGGTTTATTTCAAAAAGTGGATGAGTGACAAATTTTTTTAAAACAAGTTTTATGACAAAAAACGACAAATTATTCATATAAAAAGTAATTTGTGCTTAGATTCGTGATTGTTGTGCCAACTCATCAAAATTAGCAATAACTGGGGTTTATTTCAAAAAGGGGATGAGTGACAAATTTTTTTAAAACAAATTTTATGACAAAAAAGCGACAAATTATCCATATAAAAGAGTCATGTATGCTTATTTTCGTGTTTTGTTGTGCTAACTCATCAAAATTAGCATTAACTGGGGTTTATTTCAAAAAGGGGATAAATGACAATTTTTTTACGACGAAAACGACAAATTTTTCATTTTAAAAATGTAATTTATGCTCATTTTTGTAACTGTACCGTGAAGTAAGAACTACCAGGAGTTATTTTAAAAAGGGGATGAGCAACAAATTTTCTTTTTTTACGACATATTCTTCTATATTAAAAATCCAAAAATTCCAAAGTGGTTGAACTAACTTCACGGACGTCATATAGAGCTTTAACTGAAGCAAAAAGTGTTTTGCTATTTGTATTTAGGTACAGAAGAGGGGGTGAATAACATGTACTATGTTCCCACCCCCTCCCCTGTATCCAGTTATAAATAGCAAGCAAAAACATGACGTACCACTTTTTGCAGTTAACTAAAATTGTTCCTAGTAACTTCATTTAATACCAGAGAGAATATAAATGGAGTTCAAACTAACTAAGTTTTATCAATCGAAAAAATTTATGTTTATAGTTTTTAAGCTTACAGTTGTTATCAACTCACTTTCAGCTTCATCTCTAACCTAATTATGAAAAATATATGAAGCGTAGAATATTTTTATTGCAGAATTTGGAAAATAAAAGTCACTTTAAAATTAATTTAATTTACTTTATCATCAGGTTGTTATATACAACAAAATAAATATATAAATATCTATATATCACAAGTTCTACGATCTTGGTATTTTTTGAATATTACTACTTTTTTTGTAATCTTTATATTTTGGGGTTTCGTTAACTTTATTATCTTCGACGGAATTCTGATCTCCGTCTAAGGAAACCTTGTCAATCTCAGACAAGTTGATACTCTCTGGAAATCCACTTTTAAACTCCCTGGCATCAGATTTATCCCCGATGGATCGCGCAAAAGTTAGCCTGCCGTGTTTTTGTGCATAAAAGTTAAAAGCTGCGGCCAGATCCGGGTTGATCTCTTCTAGGGGTGTTTCATCGGCTCTAATGTATACCGGGATATAACCGGGAACTCCAGTGAGGTATTGCCTCGGTACCTTAGCCAGTGCTGGTGAGCTCTCTGTAAAAAAATAGTGTCATTAAAGCGCGGGAAGTCAACTGAAACGGCACCGCGCCAGTCCAGCAAAAAATGAAAAAGCATGAATTTTTATTATTATAACAATAACTTAAATTGTTAACAGAAAAAACCGGCGGCGCCAATAGGCGCCTGTAGGATCGGTAATCCCCCTGTTTGTGTAAAAGAAGATTAGAGTCAGTGGATCGAGAATAATTAACCATTTTTTTGAGCTTGTGATAAAGGGTTCTGAAATACTTTTCTTTATGCTGGTGTACGAAAATAATGAGAATTCTTCTAATAATAATTACAGGCATCGCAACCTAATTTGTCTGAAGAGGAGATGCGCATTAATCTCGAATTTCAATTGTCAACGCCTACTGTAACTGTTAAAGAGAGATGCAAACAATAGCTGTGTTGTCGGGTGTGATCAGTAGATGATAATATTTTTTTGAATTTGTGTTTGTAGCGTGCAGATTTTGAGTTATATTTTATTTTTATTTGTTTGTAGTGTTTTCTTTTGAGTAGTGTTAAAATGCCGAAACAAGCAAAGGAAATAATATTTCATCTATTCGAATATTTTATGAAAAAAAATGTTCCTCGGCAACAAATAGTTTTGAAAAAAACAACGATGATAGTGAAACTTATAGACAATGTGTTGTGAACGATGATCCCAAAACTCTCACTGAAATTAAAGAACAAGTTGCTGAAGCTACAGGATATTCGGTAAAAACAATTGAACGAATAATTATAGAAGGTGAGATATCAAAAGGTGAAAAGTATACGTCGACCATACCTAAACAATTGTTTAAAAGTCCAAAGAAGCGCAAAAGAACATCAAGTGTAACAGATATTCCATCCTACAATATTGGAACAATCAGAGATATAAAGGGTTTTTCAATAAGAGGTACCTGATGTAGAAAGATTATATTTATAATAGGGTGCCATGGTTTGATGACAGTGAGTTGATCTGACATTTCACAAGTCATTTACTACCGAAACCCGGTACCTCTTGTTGAAAAACCCTTTAGTTCATAGATTTCACGAAACAGAAGGTATGCGCGTAACACTCAAAACTCTTAGTGAAAAATTAAAAAAAGGAAATTGAGTGGAAAGGGAACTACACATCATTAAGAACAATTTTAAAAAAATTGGGTTCAAGTGGCGAAAAACGCGAAACAACAGACAGGTTCTAATAGAACGGCTTGACATCAGGGTAGCTATTCTTGAATTCGAGGGAGTAGAAAACCGGTTTTTCCTCTTTATCGGCAACGCACAAAATTTGTATTTTTGTCTCATTCTTCCCTCAAATTTTCTACTCCCTAAGATTCAAGAATAGATACCCAGGGAAAAAGAATAGATTATATTAAAAAAATTACATATTTTCGTTCTCAAAACCGTCATTTCCATCATTTCGAAAGGAAAGAGACTTATTCCTAACAGTTTATTAATGTTTGTGTTTAGGACCAAATCTGGTGATTATCATAATGATATGAATTAAGAAAATTATGAAAAGTGGCTAAGAGAACTGTTAATACCAAATTTACCACCAAATGCTATTGTAGTTGTGGATAATACGACAATGTTATAGAAAATCTTGCTCCGAATTCAAAAGCTGAAATGATAAACTGGTTGACATCCAACAATATTGAATTTCAACCTTCCTTATTACGTCCACAGCTATAAACATTAATCAAACAGCATAAAAATAGATTCAAGCAATACAAATTTGATAGATTATTCTCCGAACACGGTCATACAGTTTTGAGATTACCACCATACCACCTAGACTTAAATCCAATAAAAATGATCTGGGCTGTAGTAAAAAATAATGTAGCTATAAAGAATATTCATTTTAAATTAGCACATGTACAAATGTTAGCTGAAATTGAATTTAAATCAGTAACCCCTAGAGAACTGGAAAAAAAGATGTACACATGTAATAGCTGTCGAAGATAAATATTTAGATCGCGAAATTATAATGGATAACGTTGTAATTTCTACAGTTATTATTAATGTTAATGAAGACAGCAGTGATAGTTCTAGTGATAGTGATGATTTTTTAGAACTCTGTTAATTTGTTTATGTTTATTTTGTTTGATAGTAGTTATAGCAAAAAGGAATAGAGGTTAGTATAAATTCAGTATTTGTTGACCTATAACATATTTTTAAAAAATCCTCGTTGTCTTATTTTAATATTTGTATGCTGATGACTTTCACCACTTTTACTTCACCCACACATTTTGTTAAAATATTAAAGATATCAAGTGCAAAATCACCATTTTTTTTTACCCAATAAATTTTTTTAACGGAATACATATTAGCTCATAGATAACAAATAAATTTTAACAAATTCTGTAGGACTTAAAAACCTATTTACATAATTGCGTTTGATCCATTGTGTAGGTAATCTGGTATTTGCTATAATACCATCAAATGATAGCCCCTGTTGATAAAACATTCTTAGAAACGAGGGCGGACTCGATTTGACCGTTATTAAGGATTAAAATTTTAGGTAATTTTATTAAAATTTTGTGATTAATCTGACCATGATTGTTTTAAAAATCCTAGAAAATTTATTTTAAGCAAAAGTAGTATACACTAGAGTTTTAATAGTAGCCAGTAAGATCGTTTGAAGGTGTGTCAGCAGTGCGCAAACTTTACCCCACTACAGACAAATTAGGATGCGATGCTGTAGTAATTTAATAATTAATAATAATTATTAACAAAAAATAAGCAAATCTAAGAGTTGCAGTTCAGGTGGTTTCCATTTTAATCTGTAATTATTATATATTTATAATAATTATATTGTTTAATGATTTATTCAATAACATCTAGCGGGCTGTTTCCACCCAGATATTAGTAAGAAAATACGCAATTTTAAGGGTTCTTTAAGAATACTTTATCTATTTTTGGGGTTGTGAAACAAGTATTTTACATAAATTCTTAAATTTAAGTACGTTATAAAAACAACACAATATAGTTTTATTTTCATTATCAATAAATAATTTTAAGACATTTTTCACTCATTTATCGAAATAAATTTAAATAATTTCGTTCATTTGAACGTTCCGTTCTTTAAGTACATAGTTAAAGGGCAGTTAATTACGAATTTCAAAAGGGCCATAACGATTTTACCATTACAAATTATTTTGCTATCAAAAGCCCAACACCTTGCCACAACTTCAACGTTTTCTGGGATGGTAACCCCCTGTACTACAAACGAGAATAAAGCAGTGTTGTATGATTATTGAAATATGCGAAAATTGAGGTAAAATAAGGGAATTTTTAATTTATTTCTTAACATGATGAAATGTTTAGTAGGTATCTAGCAATATTTACTGACTCTTTAACTTATTTAAAGAGATAATTACTAAAATATCCACATAAACTGCAATTATTTACTTATTTATCAGAATTTATAAATATTTCTATCTTTTATTAATATTCTTCTGTTAGACTGCTGAGTTTTTAGTTTTTTAATACTGAATTGAAGTTTCTTAACAATTTGTTTCCTTTAGTTATTATTTTTTTATAAAAAAATCGATCAATATTATACATAAGGTTTAAAATTTAATTGCTTAATAATGAACCTATACATGTTTTAAAAATTTGTAATAAATGGAATTTAAACATTATTTAACAATATCGAAAAAAAGAAAAAGGAGTATACTTTTTAGTGTTATTTCTTTTTAACATTCAAAAATTAATTTTAGTGGTAGTATATTATTTATTTACCTATTATTGATTTACCTTGTATCTTATTCAAAAATAAATCACGTATTATTAAATTAAAATAGGCATCCTACCTCGCATTAAAACTTCATCATAGTGCTACAGGTTCCACAAAAATTTTATTACCATATCCACTATATAAAAAAAAAACTAAAATAGGCTTGTATATAAAATGTACACACCGGTTATTTCTGTGAACAAGAGAGAGATGGAGAACATCGCCAAAATCCGAGTGAACATCTTTGGTTAGGTAAATGGAACGACAAGCACTGAGAGAATCACTGAATGACTGGCCATTGACTTTCAGAATACCTTTTATATTATGTGTGTTTCATCTTGTAGGTATACCGGCTGTTCGATATGCGATGCATAGTTCGGTGAATTGCAAACAGGCATTTTTTGTTAAATTTGACCGAGTATGCTTACAATTTTTTACCTCTTTTGGACCTCGATTGACTCACCCTACTTTTCTTAACTCGCTTCGGGCTTCGATCTCTTTATAGTCTTTATAATTTATGCAAAGCTGGTACAATATTTGATATATTAATAGACTTACCTGAAGGAACATTATTTGAACGCATATTATGAGGTTTTCACTCTGTAGTTTACAGTATCTGCACTATAACCGCACATATTTAAACATAAACATCCCATCTACGTTAATAAGCTGCAATTCCTGGCTCTTTAAGCTCGCATGCAATGTACTTTTAATGTAACCCTAACATCCATGCAACCACTTTTTTAGCACATCGCATAGAGGTTACAAAGTGAAGTTCGGTTAACATCACACTAGCAGTTTTACAGTACTTTTCCCCGAAAGTTGTTCTGAAACGTTTTATAGATGTTATAATGTGAATTAGTTCTATAGAATTATACAGTGCGTCCACGGATGGGCTTAACTATACTTGCAAAAATATTTATTTTAAATTAAAAAGAAGAAATTCTTCATAATTTATTTTGCTTGTTAAATAAATAAGATTCACGTTAAGAAATTGAGGTTATAGTAAAATCTCAATGAGACATGAAAATTTCAAATAAAACAAAATATAAAATGATATAAATTTATTATCAAAATGTTCTTAAAATCAAGTACCAATATCACAAAAGTAGAGCTGTCATGTAACATAACATAAGTTTTAGAGTAAGTACTTCTAACTTCTAAGAGTTAAATGATGCTGATTACTAAGAAAATTGAGTACTATTTTAGGGTCCTAAATTATTTTCTATTTTTGTGTAGGTTGTTTTAAATGAATGGCGCCTTTTAGAAATATCTTTATTACACAATCATCGTTTTTTGTTTATATTTAGTATGAGCATCAAGACCGATTTTTGGACGTTTATAGTATGTTATGTTATGTTGGGAATGGGGTGTTCATACACTGCGACCTAAAAGATCTATTGTGTCCCCTTCTGTCGCCAATGCACCAAGGAAATGTCTCAATGCCTATAACGACCCTTCCAATACTATTTTCTCAAGGAAGTATAGGATTTGAAGTGGCTTCAAGTTAGGTAAATCTCCCTCTTCTATTTGATGTCCTCCTAGATATAGTGCCCTTAGATTCTGAAGTACTACACATTCAGTTAGGATGTGAATGGAGGTTTCGTCCTCCTCCTCACATAATATGCGTGCACTATCCTTTCCTATTCTCAGTTTACTTAGGTGTCCTTTTAGTCGGCAATGCCCGGTAAGGATCTCTGTTACAATACGTAGCCTGTTTTTGCTCAGGCAGATGCAGGCTTCCGATATTTTCTGGTTATATTCACCCAGAAGTATCTTAACCTGTCTCAGCCCCAAGAGATTGTTCCAATTATCGGTTCTTCTACTGCCCAATTCTTTTTTAATCTCTCCTAATATTATGTTACTGCTGATACCGCAGAACGGCTCAGATCCTACAAAGGGTGTTTGAGCCTCTTTCCTTGCAAGACTATCTGCAATCTGTATCCCATTATGTCCCGGGACCCAAGTGAGAGTAACTCTATTTTTCTCGCCTAGCTCATTCAATTGTTCTAGGCATCTCCAGACCATTTTTGAGCTAATTACGTAAGAGCTTAGCGCTTTGATGGCGACTTGACTATCGGACATGATGATAATCTCTTGTCTATGATAGTTTCTCTCGATGTTGAACTAGATACACTTTTCGGTGGCGTTAATTTCCGCCTGGAAGATGCTTGGGGATTTTCCCAAGCTTTCGGAGTGCTTGGTTCTCGGCCCATACACTCTTATTCCAGTTCCTTCTATGGTTTTGGAATAGTCCGTATACGACTGAATAGCACGTCTTTCGGTTGCAAACGCGATGGATTCTTGGCTCCATTCTTTCTTGCAGCCCAGCTCCGTGGTTTTGAAGATTTCCACAAAACTGTACTTCTTTAGCATTTCATCTTGGGGCATCTTTAGTTCTGAAGCAAGTAGACTTTCGTCTGATTACTCCGTTCCTGATCATTCTATATCGTGTCCTTTTTGCTACATTCTCTATCATCAAATGTAGAGGGGTGAGGTTTAAGATCACCTCCTTTGCGGCCGTAGGACAGGTTCTCATTGCACCAGTAATGCAAACACAGGCTAATATTTGTACTTTTGAGATAATAGCTCTCGTAGTAGCTAAACTAGTTGTGTTACTCCAGGCTATAGCCCTGTAAGTGATGATTGGTCTCACTATTGCAGTATAGGTACATCCATCGCAGTATGTTTGGGTTACATCCCCATCGTTTGCCTGCAATGTTTCTACATACCGTTAGGGCTTTCGTGGCCTTATTTACTACTTCCTTCTCATATGTGTTCCAGTGAATTTTGTTATCCTGGGTTAGGCCTAGATATTTGACTTCATTTTTCCATTCTACATCTATTCCGTCTAATTTAACGGTTTTGAGATTAAGTTTTCTTTTCCTTAAAAAGGCTACTAGTGTTGTTTTTGGTATGTTCTAGTCCTAGTTGGACTATATCACACAGGATATTACTAAACTTGCCTCTAGCAAATATGACTATGTCGTCGGCATAACCTTGATAGGGTATGCCGAGGTCAGTCAATCTACATAGAAGTTCGTCAATTATTCTTCACCTAATTTTTTAAAAAACTATAACCAAGGCTGATTGAACCAGTTGGAAACAAACAGAATTCCATGCTTTATTTTCTATTATTATCTTTAATATTTTAATAGCAAAAAGAGGAAAGGCATAAAAAGAATTTTCTCCAGTTTAAAGTAAACGCACCAAGTGCTAAATATTCAGTATCTGAACCTCATGAGATAAATGTTATACAAAAAATATATTTTTGGCGCAGTCAGTAGGATTTTCACAAATAACCCGAGGTGACTAACTTTCACTATTTTGATAGTTACAGAAATAATAACAATAGTAATTATAGAATGAAGGATAGGAAATAAAAGGTCCTTTATACCTCAGAATGATATGTAATTCTTTTGAAACGACCGGTTTAGACAGATGTAGAACGGTGCACGCCAGTCCACTAGCGGTTCAACCACGGAAGTCAGTAAGTCGATTACGATAGCCTTACTTTATTTCACTCACGTGTAAATATAGTTAATCCTCGCATCTTCATTTCGAAGGATCCAAGGATTAATATATTGTATGCAGGTATATAATTTTCAGTTTCATGGGTACGTATATTGGTAGATATTATTTTACTCTATTTCGGTTTTGTATTTAAATATTTGTATCTACGCCGCTGGCTGATCCTCACAATGCAAAGGTTCGCAAAGGTTTGGAACCGACAGGTGATATTGATTTATGATTCAGTGGCGTCCACAAAATAAAGTAAATTTAAATAAGACTTCATTGATTAATTAATGTATTATACATAAGTGGTAGTGGAATATTGGATTTTTACGCAAAATTACTCTAGAATAGTCTGGATATTTATAAATACTCTCAATGTAGACAAAATAAATGTCGCTAGTATCCTCACAGTAACTATATCAAATGTTGTATTGACGGGATCTTGCTGGCCTTTTGCTGTAATTCAATGGAAAATGAATGCTACTTTTGGCCTTTCGATATAGTGGCCCAGCATTATATTGGTTAATGATGGCCCAGTAAAATTCAATTTGTTTTATTTTTAATTATTTTAGTTTAAAGTAAGAAATCACAAATGGGAAATAATATAAACTTGACAAACAATTTTCGGGCATAAAAATCTAATTCCAATCAAAATTGACTAAATAATGTATGCAGATGATTTGGTATTAGTCAGCGTATTAGTAGTAGTATTAAGTAATATGCAAAACAATTCTTGATAGAGGAAATTGAATTGAGAGAAACGTCTCATTTATCATATTATCTCTTAAGATTTTTTCTGTAAAATAATAAAATTATCAAATTCTATTCTTAAACTAGTGATTAATATGAAAATTTAACAATACACAAAAATAACTCGTGACTAAATAAACATTGTTTATAAGATTTTATTTCCTATTGTTTAAATCTACACATAATTCATTAATGCTGTAAACAATAATAATTTAAGTGGTCTATTCTATTGTATTGATTAGACCAAATATTGTTCAAATTGCATTTTATATGTACAGGGATCATGTTAAAATGTTTAGTGTTTGTTTAAAGTGCTTGGATCGGTTCTGTTCATACATGCGACATTCCTACGTTAGAGAATATATTCCATTAGAGGCTCTACATAAGAAATATTTCATTTTTGCTTTCATTTACAAGCCTATATGAACAAAAATGTTTAATTTTAACCCTAAACTCGCAACCAACAATACATCAAATAGCTGTGAATCCTGTAATTTTTATTTCACGTCCTTTTATATAGATGGCGCCACCTGAAAATTTCAACTTTAGATCAAGCAACGTTATAGTTAAAAAACATTCCCTTGTGAAATTTAAGGAAAGACAGGATGAAACAAGAATCTGCAGACTTGCCAGGGAGCTTTTAAGTTATCCTGACAACACTACAACAAACAAATACTTGACAGGCTAGACAGATTCTACGCCTGAACACAGGAATTGTGACTGGTCTTTTCCAAGCACGGAAGCATCACCATGTCATGGGGCTGTCAGAATCCGCATTCTGCAGGTGGTGCGAACAAGAAGATGAGAATAATCTCTACAAGTGTCCAATGCTTTAATTTATTAGAAGATTTGTTTTCAGCGAGAATATAAGAGAAGCACACGGAAAAAAATGTGACTAGAAAATTTTACTACAATGTTGTAGTAGTAGACTTGTAGAAAAATACTTAACAATTTGTAGAAAATTTTACTACAATTTATAGTTAAAAACTATTCATTATTGTAGCAATTGAATTGTCGAATAAAATGCTACAACAATAGGAAAGAATTCCACAATGTTTAGTATATTTTACTATTGTTTGTAGAAGTAGAAATTTATTACAATTATCGTAATTACTAC